GAGATGGATTGATACGGTGGCTGCGATGATGGGCTCAAGTATAGCAGGGATTGTGGGGCTGGCACGGGATGGGGCAGTGTTTCGTTCTGCTGTGCATGGGGTCTCTATGAGTTGGAAACGACTCGATGGAACTTAACAACAACAACAACAACAAGTCCTAGTTGTCCTGCACTGGTAGGGCTGCTGCTGAACTATTCTGAGAATTTCTGGGATGGGGGTGAGATGACGCAACATGCTTAGAACCACAGCCTTGGCCTTCTTTTTGATCCCCCTGAGGGAGAGCACTGAGTTGAGCTTTTCCTACAAAGAGGACTTACCACCCTCATGATTACACACATGAACACTAGCCATGAAAATTGAAACACTTTCAGATTTGGCTTCCCTGAGGAAGGGAAATCTGAATATGAGAAAGAAGACATGAAACAAAACAAAACAAGAGCAACAAAAGGATCACCAGAGGACATATTCCACATTGAATACAAATGAGTGTTCACCCATTTTGGGTAACTTAATCTTTACAGAGTATATGCTCAGTAAATGTTGGGGTGCATAGTAAGTGCAGGCAGATATTGAGTTCACTGTGGTGGCCCAGGCCTTTCATAGGGCCAGGGTGACATATAAAACCAGTTACCACAGAGTCAACTTCAACGCCCCATGTGTGTTGGAGTAGAATGATGCTCCACAGGGTTTTCAGTGACTGATTTTTTGGAACGAGATCTCCAGGCCTGCCCTCTGAGGTGCCTCTAGGTACTCTTGGATCGCTAACCTTTCAGTTAGCAGCCAAGTACGATAACCGTTTGCATCCCCCAGGCACCTCAGTGTGACACACAGCAAGTGATTGGTAAGTTGTTGCTGAATGACGTGAGGGTTAACTGCACCTCTTCCCATCTGTGAGCCACTGAAGTTGTGTGTACAAGTGTTGATTCCTGGCCTGAAGTCAGGAAGTGGGTAGAGTGGGAGGTGGATAGGAAAGATAAGAGTTCCCCAGTGTTTGTAGGAAGTTTGTAGCTGGCCAAACTCCAGAGCTGTGAATCCAGTGTTTACCCTGTTGCTCCAAGCTCCAATGGCACAGCGGAAGGAAGAAGGGCAGGGATGAGAGCAGTTGGGAACTCTATCTGCTGGGCATTTGCATCTTCATTGAAAGGCAGACTGAATGGCTACCTTAGGTGGCCTTCTCTATTTAGGAGCACAGTGCTTACTGTATGAGGGACAATTCCATCTGGGATTGTGTCCTGTGTTGGCTGGATATCTTGCAGTACATTCTCCCTTTGTGAGGTCCTCTGCATGGAGCTTATGGATTAGGGAGCTGGCTTGGAGGAGGGTGAGCCGTTCGGTCCTCTCTCTCTGAAGGTATCTGGTTTTGAGTCTTCTATACTGCCATATCGACCCAGAACTTTGTTGACCTGCTTACACTCACTGGAGTGTGGAGCCTTGAGTGTTCTGACTCTTTGAATCTCATTCCTGTGGAAGATGTGGCCTTTGCTTACGCCATCCTTCTTGATTAAAGGAGGGGGTCCAACAGTTGGTGCCCTGGTTCTGTACTACATTTTCTGAATTCTTCTTGGACAACTGGTCACCCCAGAGGATAGTAATGGAAGATAGTCGTTGTAATAAACTCGTCATCATCACAATAATTACTTCTTACACATGTACAGAGATTTATGGTTTCCAAACTATGTTCCCTTGTAGACAACCACATTTGATCCTCAGCATTATTATCATTATTCTATTTTATAGGTGAGGAGAGAGGGGTTCAGAGAGGTTGGAGGACTAGCCTTCAGTCCCATAGTTAGTGATTGCGAAAGAATCTAAACATGGTCTTCTGACTCCAGCTAAGGATGAGGAAGATGGGGATACAAGATGTGTTGTGAAATGTGATGAACCCTGGGCTCAGCACAGCTTAGCACTTGGTCTTAACGCTTTAGGACTGTGATGTTAGCTGGAGGCCAAACTTCAATTTGGGGCTTCACTTCTTTCTTCTGTAAAATTCCCTCTGATGTCTTCTTTTACTCTAACAACTGAGGTTCTAAGACAGTTCTGTGAATTAGAGCAGATGATACTGTTCTCATCCTATAGATGGGGACACTGAGGCATAGAGGGGCAGATGACATGCCCAGTCACTCACAGTGAGGGACAGAGCTTAGGCTGAAGCTTAAGACTCTACTCTTAGCCCAGGGCACTGTCTGCCATCTTGTATTTGTTTTATAGACATCCTGGCAGGGGGTGCTTTGTGAAATGCTACTTGAAAAGTTGCTATTTAACTGGACTAAAGCATACCAATGGTTATGAAGATGAAGCAGGACCAGGCTGTGTTTTGTTCTGTTATGCATGAGGTCACTATAAGTCAGAGCCAGCTCAATGACAACTAACAACAATATTCACAGAATATCATGAGAAATATTTGCCTACTTGATTAAATGTAATAATTGGTCCCTAGGTTCTATCTTAGGTCTCTGGGTAGTGGGCAAATTGTTTGTGCTCAGTCCCAACTGAAAGCTGTTCAAACCCACCCAGTCATGCCTTGGAAGAAAAGCCCAGTGATCTGCTTCTGTAAAGATTACAGCCAAGAAAACCCATGGAAAAGATTTTGGGCAGCCATCTAAGATACAACTATTAACCTCTCCCTGAAGGAAGGTTGGGCAATCTACTTCCATAGTGATACTGCCTTTGAAACCCAAGGAGAGGTTGCTATGCATTGGATCTGACTCTATGGCAATGCGTTGCATTGTGTTGTGTCTGGAGCAAAGAGGGTGAAGAAAACTGAAGACTCAAGGAAGAAATTAGACCCTAGGATAAATGGCCCACATGAACCACATCATCCTTTAGGCTGAGACCAGAAGAATTAGATGGTGCCTGTCTATCACTACCGATAGCTCTGACCAATAGAAGGTTCTGGTTAGAATGGGAGAAAAATGTAGAACAAAACTCAAATTCATAAAAAAAAAAAGACCAAACTTATCTGTCTGATGGAGATTGGAGGAACCTCTGAGACTATCACCTTAAGACGCCCTTTGAACCCGGAACTGAAACTACACATCTGAGGCTATTAATGGATTGGATAATCAAATAAACAGTAACCCCTTGAGGAATGTGCTCCTTAGAATAATCAACTGTACAAGGCCAAATGGGCATCATTTGCCCAAAAGCAAAGATGAGAAGGTGACACTGGCAGAATGGAAATGGGAAAGGCCACGTGGAAGTGGGGAGAGTACTGGCACATTGTGGGGAGAGCAACCCATGCCATGGAACAATGTGTGTATAAATTGTTGAATGGGAAACTAATTTGCTGTGTAAACTTTGATATAAAACACAATCAAATGTTCAAAAAAGAAAAAGAAAGCTCTTTTGGTCTGCCACACATAGGGTCACTATGAGTCAGGGGCAGTTAGCAACCACAACAAGAAGGTTCTATTTTATGGTGATGGTCACAAGTATTAGGCTTTGAGCTAATCTAGGGAGGTTAGCTCAGTTTTCTTGTCTGTCCAAAGGGTTCTCCCAGCACCTACTCAATGGGGTGCTGGGAGAACCCAGCCCAATGGGCAGCACTAAATGATACGCGGAGTGTGACAACCCCCTGTGGACATGGTGCTGACTCTTTGCAGGGGGCTGCCAGTAGATTTCACCATTGAGCCCCACCAGATGTGCAGCCATGTCTTAGGTGTCAGCTTAGAGAGGCACAGGCTCCCGTGTAGGGGACTCTGGGGCCAGGGCCAGATGTTTCACCCACACCAATGTTGACATGAGCAGGGACAGGCAAAAGAAGAGCAGGCAAATTCATGGTGGCTGGGAGGGGGCACTGGAAACTGAGCCTGCATGTATTTGCATCTGTTCTGAGAAGATGAAGTGCCCCCTGTTCAGAGAGTCTGGGTCCTCCACTCTGGCGTAGCCTCTGCCTCTGGGCAGCTGGAAGGACACACACACACACACATACAGAGCATCCTTCTGGAAGATACCAGGGTCTTCCAGAGCAGCCCAACAGGAACTGCTTCGCAGTCTTGTGATCATCCTGCCTATGGGAGAGATGAACGGAGACAGCGCGGTCCTGGCCCCCCCAGTGATGGACAAGAGGACCATTGTCCTGGCTGGCATCCTGTTCCTTTTGTGCTTGGTGACAGTGGTGGGCAATGGCTTCATCACTGCAGCCCTGGGCATTGAGTGGCTGCTGCGGAGGAGGCTGAACCCCTGTGATAAGTTGTTGGTCAGCCTGGGAGCCTCGCGCTTGTGTCTGCAGTGGGTGGTGGTGGAAAAGAGCATTTACCTCATGCTCTACCCCAGGGCCTTCCTTTACAATCCCGTGATGCAGTTCTTCTCCTTCCAGTGGGACTTCTTGAACACCACCACCCTGTGGTTCTCTGCCTGGCTCAGCGTCTTCTACTGTCTGAAGATTGCCACCTTCACACACCCAGCCTTCCTCTGGCTCAAGGGGAAGGTGACCAGGTGGGTGCCATGGATGCTGCTCAGCTCCCTGGGGCTCTCCAGTGTGAGCACCATCTTATTCTTCATCGGCAACCAGTACTTGTATCAGGACTACTTGAGAGACCTGCACATGTGGAACATCTCTGGGAATGGCATAAGGAGGTTCTATGAGAAGTTCTACTTCTTCCCACTGAAGATGATTACCTGGACTGTGCCCACAGTTGTCTTCCTCGTCGGCATGGTTCTGCTTATCACGTCTCTCGGCAGACACGCCAAGAAGGCCCTTCTGACTGTCTCGGGAAGCTGGGATGCCAGTGTCCAGGCCCACGTCAAGGCTCTCCTGGCTCTCATCTCCTTTGCCATCCTCTTCACCTCCTATTTCCTGTCACTGGTGCTCATCACTGCAGGTGTCTTTCCACCTCAGAAACTCCAGTACTGGATTTGGCAGGTGGTGATCTATATGTGCGCAGCCATGCACCCCATCATTCTCCTCTTGAGTAACCCCAGGCTCAGAACCATGCTGCACAGGAGGTGGTGCCCGATGTCTGGGGCGTCGTGAGTGACAAGCCTCAGAGAGATGCTGACACAGGGGTGTGGCAAGATGGGACATTGCTTCTCTCTCTGCACTTTTTCTGCCACAGGCAATGATTAGAGTGATAACTTCATGGCTTTGAGGTGAGATCCAAGGTCCTGCCATGTGGGCTTGTGTCACTGACAGACACTTGGCAAGAGTGCAGCTGATAGGGTCCTGGAGAGGCCGTGGGATATGGTGAGGCCAGAGAATCCAGGAACATCTGCTTCCCCTGTGGCTGACCTTGGAGTGCTTAAATTGCTCTCCCGGGAACTGGACAAAAGGACCCTGATGAACCACACTATGTTCAAGTCAGACCAGAGAAGATCTCTGTGACCTCAGGTCTCCTCTGGCTTCATCTTGTGATGATACCTTTCTCTTGTCATCACTTGGCAGTGTTCTGGCCATGCCAGCTCCTCCCCTCCACGATAGTCTCTGGTACTTTCTTCACAGAGCATGGCATGGTGTGTGTGTGTGTGTGTGTGAGGGGGCTGTGGGCACTGCCTGAGATTGCGGGCCTCTGAGTGCTGGCTTGACCATTTAGATGTTGTTCTGTACAAGGTCTGCCCCATCTGTCTGTTCTAGGCTCGGGTCCCTTCTTCCCTTGTGTTGACATTGGGACCTCCTGCTGTTTCTGGTTTGGTAAATGATGTCTGGGTTGCTTTTCATCTTCCCGAACTCTTCTCAACTTTCCCTGAGCCCAGGTTCACACTGAGATCCTCGTTTTTCCTGATTCAAATTAAAACCTCTCAGCCTCCATCCCTGGTTCTCCTGCAGGACCCCCGCACTGGAAGACCAATTCCAGTGGCTGTTAAGTGGATTCTCCCCATTCCTCTGGATCCTGTGTTAGCTTAGACTGTCCCCACCTCTCACGCGGACTCCTCAAATGCTTCCTCACCACCTGCTCCCTCACCACCCCCATCCAAACTACCCTGACCAGATGACTCTCCTGGATGTCGGACCCTGATCATGTTACCCACACTCCCAATGACCTCTCCCTGCTTGTCTCATGAAGGAAGGCCTTCAACTTGGCATCCGAGCACCTCCACAATGGAGTGACATCATCTTTTCATTGCTTCCACTCTAACAGAATCCTACTTTGTGATCATTTTTTCAGGACAGGCCTGGAGCTTCCTCACTACTATGCTGGACTGTGCTCTTACCCCCACTTCCACCTGTCCAAGCATTACTTAGGTTCTCCCCCACCAGCCCCATTTAGCTTTTGAAGGTCAGTTCCAAGGGCACCATTTCAGTGACCATTTCAGTGCAGCTCTGCTGGATGCTTCCTAAGCCGTGATCTCTCCCCATTAAGGCTATGTCAATGAGCTGCTCCTCCACTGGACAGAAATCACGCCGACGAATGTGTCATTTGCACACTCATCTGTGTGTTATTGCACACAGTGGCATGGGTGCCCTGTCCTGGCATGTGTCCTCTGAACCCGCAGACGTGCCGCTGTGCTGTGCAGAGTCGTTCCCCTGCTCCACACTCTGGCCTCACGCATGGGGCCTGCTGTGTATTTATCTCTGGGACACTCACTACATTGTTTTGTTTTCCAACTTTTTATTTTGGAACACATGTGTATGCATACACACATGCATATGTATACACACAGCATACACTCACACACATGTGTACATATACACACATAATGCACTCATACATTTACATACACACATGTACGTATACAATATACACATATTTATATAATACATGCTTGTGTAATACAGGTACATGCATACACATACACACATATTTATATAACACATATTTACATGCCAAGCTCACTGCCATTGAGTCGATTCCGACTTGTGGCGACCCCTATTGGATTTCTGAGGTGGTAAATCTTTACTGAAGTCAATTGCTGCATCTTCCTTCCATGGAGTGGCTGCTGGGTTTGAAACACCAACCTTCTGGTTAGTAGTCAAATGCCTCAGGCACTGTGCCACCAGAGCTCTTACATATTTACATACACACGTACGTATCCATGAGTACATGCATATGCATGCATATATAACATACACACATACATTTATGCATACACACATACATACATATATGCATGCATACATCTATATGTATATATATATTTGAATCCCTTGTTCCCTTTTCCCAGTGCCCTCGTTGGTGACATCTTATAAATGGAAGACACGTACGAGTTAATGCATTTGCCTTCTGCAAAAGTCCAAATGTGTAGATTTAATAAGAAAGCAGGGTGGTTCATCAGTAGAATTCTTGTCTTCTGCTAGGGAGACCCTGGTTTGAGGCCCGACCAGCGCGTCTCACACATGGCCACCATCTGCCCCTCACGGGAGCCTTGCCTGTTGCTGGGATGCTGAACAGGTTTTGGAGGCGCTTCCAGACTGTCACAGAGTCAGAAGAAAGGCCTGGCAACCCCTTTCTGAAAACCTCCCTCCATTTTCATGTCTGTAGTGCAGCTGCGCTCCCTTCACCTTCTGGTCGGCAGCTTTCTGAGGTCGAGCTTGTGTCCTGCTCGTGGCTTATATGGTGTGACGGTGACAGTAATCAATGAGTGTGGGACAGGGAAGTCTGCCCATTCTGTGACGCCCTTGCCCACGTTCTTTCTTACGTGTTTGCATGATGCTAAGCAACAGTGAACGGACTGACTTTTAACTCCTTCCAACAGGAACCTGACTCAAGTGCCGTCTCTCCTCTTTGTGACTGATTGAGACCCTTTTCCAAAGCATCAGATAAGCCACTCTTTGTTTCCTCCAGTCTTCACCTTGTTAGCCTGGGAGCAGAACACCCACCAGAAGCCGAATGACCTCTCCACAGGGACGGGCTCTCCTTGCACTTGGACACCCAGGGCGAGTGAGAGACACAGGGCTGCTGTGTTGTGAAAATATCTGACAACCTTGCTGTTACCACCCACTTCCAACCTGGTCTGATTTCACTGTATATCATGCTGATGGCATTTGTAACCATGTATTGAATACCTATTTGTGTAAAGCATGGGTTAGGGAATTTATTTACTTATAGCCTTTACATATTTAATTCTTTGTTTTTAAAATGTATTTTATTGAAATATAATTTATGTACAGTGAAATACACAAAACTAAAGTGACATGCGTCAATGCATTTTTTTTTTTTGCAGTGTTCTCTCCCCACCCCTCCCACCCCTGGCAATCAGCAAAGAAAGTTTCCCTCCATATATAAACCTTTCCTTGACCCTCCACAACAATGAACTAATACTATATTTGTCCTTCTGTGATTGACTTATTGCACTCAGCATAATGTCCTCCAAGTTAATCCGTGTTATGTGGTGTTTTGCAGACTCTACATTATTCTTTAGTGCTGCATAGCATTCCACCATAGTTTGGTCATCCACTCTTCCATTGATGAGCACATAGTTTGTTTCCATCTTTTTGCTATTGTAAATAGTGCTGCGATGAACATGGGTGTGAATATATCTGTTTCTGTCCTGGCTCTCACCTCTCTAGGATATATACCTAGTAATGGGATTGCTGGGTCAAATGGTATTTCCAATTCCAGATTTCTAAGGAATCACCATACAGCTTTCCACAGTGGTTGTATCACTTCACAGTTCTACCAGCAGTGTATGAGAGTCCCAATCTCTCCACATCCCCGCCAGCATTTGTTATTTTCTGTCTCATTGAACCCTGCCATCAATGCTGGGGTGAGATGGTATCTCATTGTTGTTTTGATTTGCATCTCTCTGATGGCCAAGGATTCTGAGCATCTCTTCATGTATTAGCTGACCTCCTGAATATCCTCCTTGGTGAAGTGTCTATTCATGTCTTCTGCCCATTTTTCAATTGGATTGTTAATTCCTTTGCTGTTGAGTCGGAGTTTTCTATAAATCTTAGAGATAAGTCCCTTGCCAGAGATGTGATTATTGACAAGTATGGATTTGTTGCTGTCATTTTTGTTATGTGCTATTTCGTGGAGTTAATTTCTTTGTTCCATATAATTTTCTCTGCTGAGCTTGTTTTGTTTATGAATCATGTTATCACTTCCTTTGTTGCTATTGTTTTAGAATTTGCTAAATATTTGTGCTGGTCCTCTTTTTGATTTTGATATGAAGGTTTATAATTGTCTTTGAGGTTACCCTGTGATTATAGTTTTCTTCCCATGTTTAGAACAGTCCCTTCTGTATTGTAGTTGTCCTGACTTCCCTCCCATCTAGAAGTTCTGTAACGACACAATTTTTTCCCTCTTTTTGGTTTATAGTTGTCCTCGTTTGTCATTTGATGTCTCTGGTTCCCTGTTTACAGTCTTGTAGGCTTATTTACTTTGGATACTTCTATAGCTGAGTTGGATTCTGGGTTATGTCACCATGTGTGTTAACAGTTAGTTGTTGTTTGCTGTTGTTGCTTCTCTGTCCAAAGGACTCCCTTTAACATCTCTTGTAAGGTTGGTCTGGTTTTAACAAATTCCCTTAATTTCTGCT